TCTCTCTCTCTCTCTTTCTTTCTATCTCTCTATCTCTATCTCTCTCTCTCTCTCTCTCTCTCTCTCTCTCTCTCTCTCTCTCTCTCTCTCTCTCTCTCTCTCTCTCTCTCTCTCTCTCTCTCTCTCTCTCTGTCTCTCTCTCTCTCTCTCTCTCTCTCTCTCTCTCTCTCTCTCTCTCTCTCTCTCTCTCTCTCTCTCTCTCTCTCTCTCTCTCTCTCTCTCTCTCTCTCTCTGTCTCTCTCTCTGTCTCTCTCTCTCTCTCTCTCTCTCTCTCTCTCTCTCTCTCTCTCTATATATATATATATATATATATATATATATATATATATATATATATATATATATATATATAAACCGTATTACTAAATTGTATAAGTTGAACTACCGTCATATTCCTTAAGATTTAGCAAAAAGTAAAAAAAGTCAGAGTATTTCGTTCAGGTATTTACGGGACAACTTTCATATGCGAATTAATAATGTTTCACAACCAATTGATATTAAATTTATATATATGTGTGTGTGTGTGTGTGGTGTGTTGTGTGTGTGTGTGTGTGTGTGTGTGTGTGCGTATGTGTGAATTATTAATAATCCTTCACAACTGAGTGATATTAATGTTCAGAAATTAATCAGAATATTTCTTTCTGACAAATATTACAATATAAAGAAAAAGAAAGAGGAATTGGTATTTTAAACTGATAAAATAGTAGAATTTTGAAGATGAATTTAGAAAGAGTCATAGTTACTCTTAAAAAGATTACTTTTTCGCTTATTACAAGATTTTCCTATTTATTTCAATATAGTTTACTTTATCATATACTTATTCATATATCTATTTCCTTCTCAAATACAAGAACGTTAGACAGAATACTTTTTATTTAAGAATTACACAAAAATATTGTTCCAAAAAGTAAGTGAAACAAAGTACTTTCTGTTTATCCATTCATTAATTAAATCGGTAATACGCAAAATACCTTCGCATAACCGATCGCGACGCTTTTGGTATCGATGGATTCCTCTCACTCTCTGTTATCCGAATATTACATCGTATTATATCGAATATTATATCGAAATTATATCTTGGACCCCCCCCCCCCGCCCCCTTTGGCTACGATAGCAAGGGAAGGCTTGAAAAGGAAATTGCGGGATGAAATATGAATGGAATGTAGTAATGCGTAACTATAGTAAAATACACAATGAATTAGTCACTGCAACGTAAAATGCAGTGGGCTGGGACTCCTGCACCCCCTTGCTTTGTGATGGATTCCGACCCCCAACCCCCTCCCTGGAAGAAAATGAATCCACCACTTATGTACGGGCAGCATAGAGCATGAGAGAATCACGAGGGTACTGGAATTTACCCGGCAGTAAAGCGATATTTTCGTTGTTGTTATATCCCTATTAGTTTACCCCGCAATTCCCCTGGTACCTTTCATGCCCTCCCCTGCTATCGGGGCTAAGAATGTGTGTTGGGGAGGGGATGAGGGTCCGCTGCACAATTCGTACGTAAATGTGTACTAGAGAGTGTGAGGAATCCGTCGATACCAAAATCGTCGCGTTTGGTGAAAAATTACCTTGTCATCGTCCACAGACCTGAATTTCCCCCTTCCCAGTCAGGAGTAATTGTCAATGACTGAATATCCTCTCATTATCCTTAAAGCTGTTGAGGGATAATAGTCACTTGTAATTAGACTCTCCATGTAGGGCCTTCATTCTATAGTGATGGACCCTCGATTTACTATGTAATTAGGCCAGGTGAGTGCTACAAGAGGCTAGAGGGGGATCTTCAATGAGGCTGTATAGTGTGTTTACTTAATTAACTAAGGAGGCAGTTTCAAGGATGGGGTTATACACTCATTATACTATATATTATATAGTATATACTGTTTCGGTCTGCTTAATATGGTTTTTATTCACCATTCCAATTTGTTCTTGGATGTTACGTTCTTGACTGCATCTTTTCATTATGTTTACATTGTGTATCAAATCACAAACATATAGAAGCATTCCAATGTATCCATGAAGCAGTTGATCACTGCATACGCGAGTTCACCTAACAGAGGCATCCATTCACAAAACACTTCATCAGAAACGCTACACATAGCTACCCGCAGATGAATTTGGCTTCGTTATCTTGCGTGTGGATGAGTGTGAATACGTTCTTTGACACTTTGGTGCTTGTTTGAATGACTGAAAACATTCTGTAAGATGTGACTTTTCCAGTGGAGCAAAGGCGATACACCTGCCATTTCCCCCTCGGCCCATTTACAACAGGAACTTGCGCCACAGCCAGGAATGCACTAATGGGGGAGAGGGGACAATGAGGACATCATGGCGAATGTATATACATCTTGATTAGCTCCAGAACCCCTATATCGTGGGTGTAGGACAAGGTACACAAGATTACGGGGAATGTCACAGACATCTCATCTTACCAGCTCTGAAGATAGCATGATACTCCTCAGTGGGCTTGCTTAATCCAAGACAGAGGTTTCACAGGGGA